AACATAAGCAAACTTATAAGAAATAATCTAAATTGTGTAATGTTACTTTAGTTGCTTTAAAACAAGTAGGATATTTCTACTATCTTTGAAGATGAACTAATAAAACTTTGGTTACTAAATGTAATTTAAAGATCTCTCATGGAGGGGTTTCTATTTTGTGTGTGTTTAAGTAGGTTATCGAGGTTACCAGTAGATCTTAAATATGTGTATTTGGCCTATTTCTTTTAGGGTGATAATGAGACTGGTAGGTAAATTTTCCTAATATGCCATAAAGAGACATTGTGCTTCTATTGAATTTCACATAGCCTTACTTTTCTAAAAGTTATCTTTATGGGAAAATTAAATTACCATTCATTAGAATAGACAAAGTAGGCTGAAGACCCCCGATAAGTATGATAAATTGCTAGTCTCGTATATTTAATTACAGACGAAAAATTGCTATAGCAAATACAACCTTTTGAATGTGATATGGGAAAAGACCTATCCTTTCCTGAAATTAACATCTTCCCTCTGACCAAAAGTCATTCGCGGCATTGTATCGTATTGGTTACCTCGTTGCAATCATACGCTACGATGCCATTGCTCAAGTCTCGCTGAAGGTGTTGATGAGGCAGATTCAGGCAAGGTTGAAACTTTTGTCGACTCGAGCCTGGATGAAAATGTCTTTTGGAACAGCGGTTATATTAAATTAAATGAAATCAAAAGGTCTGCTTATATAATTGTGGAAAAATTCTGCAAACTGTCGCTTTATCGCATTACACTAAATAGTATGAATGCACCTGCTTTCCTACTGTCTACGTCCACAATATAAAGAAATATATAATTATAGCCCTGAATAAGTTACATTGAGTAATTTACCTCAAGTAAACTGCTCATATGTGAAGATCACTCTACATATTTTAGTTTCAGCTGTAAGATAGACGCTTAAATTTTTTCATTGGAATCACTTTATATACCGTCAGAAAATAGCATCATTCTAACATTTAGAGGTTTGCATAACCGTTGAGGGAATAAAGGATTTACTGGTTTGAGCAGGTTTCATATTAGATACGGAAGTAAATAAGTGTTATACACCCTATCCGTGAATTTAGTTTAAGTGTTAAGATGACTCATTTTAGCTGGATAAGCAAAGGTCTGACAGTTAAATAAGATATATTATATGCTTTCTTCCTTATTCTTGCGACATATTCCTTACATATAAATCTTTATTTATAAGAATATGAGATCTTTCGTTTATGCAAGTCTAAACGGTATTTATAGAGACATTCAAAATTAGATATTCTTAATATTAATTAGTTATTTTGAGTTGATGAGAAGCTCATCAGTTCAGGATTACAAGCAGCCAGGATATGAATGTATTTTAGGTCGATAAAATAAGGAATCCTTGAAATAAGCTAAGGCCTAACATAAAGTTGGGACTTTTTTCCGGCTTTCGGCTTAGGCAATACTAAACTGAACGGTTAACTACAATTTGTAACGATTATTATTTTATTTTAATTCACTCGAAAGACATTTTTAATCCTTTTATTTAATGCAAGACAATTATGATTTTAATCCTGGATTGAAGGTTTACAAAAAGATTTTGCATCTTTTTCTCAAAAAACTTAAGGGCGGACTCGGAAAAATAAAAGCTAACCACGATTAATTGTATTAATCTGAATAAATAAACCTTAGTATGATAATTAGTCAAATATGTAAAATAAAATGCCAGTTTACCGGCTTTTCAGTCACGAGTCAGACAAGTGGGCTCACTTTAATTAGAGACAATCTAATTTTGCTTAGAGTTAACATAAATTTTCAATCCATTTGGGAAGGAGAGTGGCGATGATAGGAAGGGAAGTTGCATTACAGAAAGCTGAAGGACGACTTACTTGCATAAAGCAAATTTCACTTGTCTGTATACTGAATGATCATATAAGTGTCTTTACAAAATAAGGACTTAATCACACAAGCAGACGAAAAAGGGTCTATTAAATAACATTTTGTGGACTTGGTATAGATTTTTGGCAAAACTCTTTTATTCCCAACACACAACATATGATAAACTAAGTTAGTGAGTAAGATGAGATATACAAATAAATATGCGATTAAAGTATGATTATGTTTTGATATATTTCAGTGTCTAAACTGTCTAATGTGATCTCACCTGGATTACAGGGTCCCAAGTGTTGAACGAAGACTTTCTCAAGTTGTCCGACTCCTGCCTTATTCAAAAAATCTCTGAGTTGAGGACTTTCTGTATTTGATATTGCCAGGTTTCTTTCCAAATAGGAAAGGCTTTTAAGGGGACAAGCATTTGATTCAGCCAATTCTGCTTCTCTTTTCCAAACTCGGTTCCTTCGATCGTGCTCAAGACTTGATGCCGGAAAGCTAGGTCTGTCGCGTTGATCCATCATCCAATACCTTTTTGACTTGGTCTCGGTAATTCCGGCCTCATTGAATACACTGTCGAGTAGATGGAAGTCCATTTTGCTGATTGAGTCGTGGTAAAGTAAGATTGACTTTACAGCCCAACTAACAGCATATGATTTTTCTTTAAGGTATTTGATTGGGTGGGAATAAAAATATTATATAACGCATAAAAATTATAATAAGTTTTTTGTATTAAATTATATATATATATATAT